CAACCCGACGGCAAGCCCCCTCTTCCTCCTTTGGCCGCCGGCCACCACCTTGCCCCAAGCCATGATGAAGATGTCAATCATCATTATGGCTTCTTGATTGTGGCCTAGCAATAAATAAAGGAGTTACCGATTTTTTAATTTCAAAATTTGAAATTCAAAAACTTTCCATATTTGGAAATTCCTAATAAGGAAAGTTCTTAAATTCGCATTATGACGAAATTCAAATTCAAATGGACTTCATCATAAGCTTTCCTAACTCCCATGTGCTGATTTGGAAACCCCTCAATGGCTCCCACACTCTTCCCTTCTCTCCACATGCCGCCGGCCTCACCTTGGTTGGAGCCCCATTCAATGCCCAATTAATGCATTGATTACTACTTAATTTGAAATCAAATTTCAAATTGATTTCCCCCCAAAACCTCTCAAATTCTGAATTTAATTGCAGGATTAGCATTTATTCCCCCTCCCTCTCTCTTGAAACCGCCGGCCACACCTTAATGGGCTTCAATTGATGGGCCATGACTTCTCTAAGAAAGAGTTTAACTCATTCCCTGCTGCTGACAGAAATTTCCAAAGCCCCTCTCCCTAATTTTCTTCCATTAACTCTTTTCCAAACTCAATCCAACGTGGAGCCCTCTTCTTCCTAAGACTGCAGCCTGAAATTTAGCCGATTGCCTTGCTCCCTCAGCCCGTGGAAGACCCATAATTGCTGTTCTAGGAAGACGGAATTGCTGCCCACAAATCCTGGTTGCTGCCCAACGGTATCCGGAAGAATTCCAGCAAGGGAAACTTAAATTCCTGCCTCCTAAAACCTTCCAACTGCTGGACGCTCTTCTACAACTTGCTGTCCACTGATTCTACAAATCTCCTAGCACCATAGCTTAATCCGGAAGGTTCCAAATGATGTCCAGAATCAGTCCAAAACAGAAACTGCTGCTGTCTTGAAGATCCACATCTTGTCGTGGCTAATCGGTGGTGCGAAGAAGCTCATGATGGCTATCGTAGTCGTCCCCAACACTCAAATCATCCTGCAGGAGTGCGTATCTTTCTTGTCTTTGGGTAAACTCAACATCCGATTCGCTATCTTCATAGTTACATCCTTGAATGTGAATTTATTGTCTTCATGAAGATCATATTAATGCGTCTCCGCTAAAGCCTAGTAATTAGAAGAGTTGTGTGAGGGATCTTTCATAGACTAATCTTATTGTTAGTATTGGAATTTATTGTTGGAACAATCCATGTATGCAAAGAAAGACTTAGTTGACTATTTAATGATCTCAACCTCTATGCATGTGAGATAACCTAAGCTAGACACCACTTTAATAGTTATTTTATCGTTCAATTCCGCATAAGATCTTGCTTATTATTGTCTCTAAATCTAAATGTGCAAACTTCTTTAAGCAAATCATTTTCGCATGGGATTGTTTCACATCATTTTAGCTCTATCAGGATGGGTGTGGGAGGAGGTATCCATGGATTTCATAGATGGATTACCTCGATCAGAAGGGTTCATAGTGAATTTTGTGTTAGTAGACAGGCTGAGCAAGTATGCTCATTTCATTCCCCTACGACACCCCTACACAGTAGTAACTATGGCATCAACTTTCATCATGGAAGTGGCCAGATTGCACGGGATACCGGAGTCTATAGTATATGATAAGGATAACTTGTTCCTCAGTCACTTTTGGAGAGATATTCAGACTACAGGGGGCAGTACTGAAGAGGAGCACCGCCTACCACCCGCAGACAGATGGGCAAACAGAGGTGGTTAATATGAGTTTGGAGACATATCTACGATGCTTTAAGTCGGAGACAGCAAGTGGTTAGCATGGGTAGAGTACTGATACAACACTTCATACCATTCTGCTTCTCATATGACCCCATTCAAAGTGTTTTACAGACAGGAACCCCCTCACTTAGTGCACTTTGAGCATAACAGCACCCCAATTTCTTCAGTAGAGGAGTACTTGGAAGAGAGGGAAAAGGTGTTGGAAGAATTGAAAAGACATCTATATATGGCTCAACAGATTATGAAGAGACAGACAGATGAGCATAAGAAGGATATCTATTTTGAGGTAGGGTAGAGAGTGTTCCCATCGCCAACAGGAGGAATGAGAAACTTGCCCCAAATTATTTTGGGCCATTTGAGGTTGTTAGAGAGGAATGGAGCGATGGCATATCGGCTAAAATTACCATCGACAACAACCATACATCTTGATTTCCACGTATCACAACAGAGAAGGGTAATTAGGGATTATACAATGAGTTCGGAGTTACCAGTGATGTTGATAGAGGACTTGGAGGTGGTATTAGAACTATTAGAGTTGATGGGAGTTTGTCAGGGAGATGAGGAAATCTAGGAAGTTTTGATCAAATGGAAGAGCCTACCTGACTACAATGCCACATGGTAACCTTATGAGAGGGTGAAGCAATATTTTCCCTCCTTTCATCTTGAGGACAAAATGATTCTTTGGGAGGGGGTATTGTTAAACTGATCCATACTGGACCAGTCCAGCCGACCCTTGCCAAGGGGCCGGCCCAATTATATAAGAGGCGGACCAAGCAGTCCGCCTTCTTGGATTTGTCGCCCATGATGGGTGGGGCCCACTAGAGATTTCAATTAGGAAGGAGGAGGCTGCTAAGGGTAAGGGGGAATTTGAGTTTAATTGCATGCTTTAAGTAGGAGAAAAAATTAGGGTCAGTGTTATGCAATTGATTGTGGCTATTTTCTTCTCGGAGTTGGGCAACTTAGGCTCTAACGACGTCAAGGGATTGTGAGAGATGGATCCTCTCGAATTGAGGATCAATTGTATCTTAGTATTTTCCTTCCGTTACTTTGTATTGTTGCTATTTTGTATTATCGCAACAAAACTACTGTTTTCTGATTTTCCCTTGGAGTTTAGTGGATATTTCTTATTGTTTTTTCTAAAATTAATAGGTTTACTTGAGATCTTCAAGTATTTCCTATCACAATCCTGCCTGATTTAATTTTATATTAAACTATTATTGAATCAAATAATCACATAATTTTTTGTGCTTCATATTAATTTTTATTGGGTATCTCAGCCGACCGAGTATAAACACATTATAAAAATATTACTAGTATCTATATCGACTTCTCTATTTTAATTTTTTTATTTTTTTATTTATAATTTAGCATAAAATTAAATTTATATAAATAAAGTAAATTTTTTAATTTTTATTATCATTTTTATTATAATAAGAGGATTATATATGCATACACTCACAAAGCTTCCTATTTATATTATATATACATCTAAATCTTACTATTTAGATATTTAACCACTTTGGTTAACTTATTTCACGCATATAATGAGGAGAACCGACGTGGATGCTATGATGCACCTGACACGGACACTTAGATAGGGGTATGCAATTTCGGACAACATGTCGGACACCACGGACACACGTCAGACACGCATGGGCACGGTCTGACACGGCATTCGGAGTGTCCAAATTAAAAAAATTAAAATTAAACATCGGACATACGCTGTCCGATTATAAATGAAGGGTACCGCTAGGTACAATGCTCCGGCTAACCGGTCGTACCGCTCGGTACGCTCAGTCATGCTCAGTCCCCGCTCAAGTAAATGCTCGGTACGTTGGGCATGCTGTGTCAAGGCTGCTCAGTACAGCTCTCCAGGTACATGCTCGGCTATTTTGCCAGTTACATGCTCAATATTGCTCAGTACATGCTCGGTACCGCCAGTACACTGTCGGTACCTCGTGCTCATACATGCTCGTACCCGCGGCAGTACATGCTCGGTACCCGGCTGCAGTACAGTGCTCGGTAGGGGCTCAGTAATGCTCGTACCGTTGGCTCGTACATGCTTCGGTACTGGCTCATTATATGTTCGGGTTACCGGGCTTGTACATGCTGGTACTGTTAGGGTACATGCTCGCTACCGTCAGTACCGGGCTAGGTACATTGCTCGGGTATTGCTAGTATATCCTCGGTACATGCTACGAACTTAAAAACAAGCAGAACTTTCAAAAATTAGTCTTACAATAAAATTTTGAAGCAACTAAGAAGGATATATAATACGAACCCGCGCCAGGGGCAAGCACCCCCTTGGACCCCCAGCAGACTAGTATATTATTGTATTCATGTTGTCTTATTATTGGAATATTTTGATTTCACTTCATATCAATTTAATTTGGTGTATTCATATGTATGATTGGTTTGTTAGCAAAATGAGCTCTGCTACTAGCGGGGGTTGATTAGGTGAAGGTTCAAAAGCGCCATCTGTCCACGCCGTGTCCGTATCCTATATTTTTAAAAATTATTATATAGTATATTAAAAAAATATTATGCCGTGTCCACGCCGCACCCGTGTCCTATATTTTTAAAAATTGCCATGTCCCGTGTCCGTGTCGTGTCGTGTCCGTGTCTCCATGTCCGTGTCGGTGCATCATAGGTGGGATGTTACGATAAGATCTCACCAAAGGCCATTGATTGGACAGTAGTGTGCATGAGCAAAGAGGAAGTCATAATGAGATCAACTAGGAGAAAGCCATCAACTAGATAAGCAACTTCTACATATAATCCCAAAACCCTTGAACATAAAGAAGACGGGAAATTGCGACGAAATCTTGCCAGGAGGACATTATGAAACCGACGGCGATGCAACTTGTTAAAGAAAATTAAGCTTGGGCTGCTATTCAAAATGATTATCTGTAATGGTGCCAATTTTTCCCTTTTCCTGCTCCACTATCTGTTCGATCCTATATATATGTTAAACAAAATGCTGAAATCGCATGTATACAGTGACATCGAAATTACATTTCATGTTTAATACGTAATCAAGAATGACAATGAACTCACAAACTGAAAATAATTAGTGTTAAAAATGCAACGAGGATCTATAGAAAGTCAAAAACAAATTGCGGACAAAATTCACCAGCTGAAAATGATATGATATCTTGAAATCATATTCATTAAAAAAAAAAACTTAAAAAAAAAAAAAAACAGTACTTACTTTTAGAGAAAAAATCATGCCAGGAGTAGCTCAAGTTATTAAATTTTACTATAATTTGCGTAGGTGATACCAATGGCTTGATCTGCGGAAAACAAAATGCAGATCAAAAAAGTTTGCCAAAATGAGGACAAGTACGTACAATATTATCATAGATACTTGCCAATAGAAAGTATGCGAAGGAAAACTTTCCACCAAGTACCACAAGCCAGAAAAGTAAATACCTGGATGCAAGAATGGAGTAATAAGACTTTATCGCCAAAACATAAACGTCAATGTGGCAAAAAATAATTACGAATTAAAATAAACAGAAAAGGAGAGCAATGAACATTTAACAGTACGGCTAAGTGCAATGACATGTTAAGAAGGAAACGCACAGCATATTGCCTTCCGTAGTTTGCACACTCACCGTTCTTTTTCTTTCAGGTTTGTTTCCTCGCTAGTTGATTACTTGATTCTATGAGATGAGAGGAGATGACAAGAGTGAGGGACAAATAAGATATCAGAAATGGTGGGGGAAACAAAAAGAGGTCAAAGATGGCTCACAAGAACATGAACAAGATGAAAGGAACTAAGTGTAATCAGCTTGAATCTAACATGACTATGAACATCCAGGTGTAAGATATTTAAGGGTGGGTTCATCGTCAATTAACACATGGTCATCAGAGGGATCATAATCTGCCAGCATCATCTTCATTGACAATTTCCAGCCTCGTCAGGACGACTATTTCTCTAATTTCACCTCTGCTTTGCATATTCCTGCTGATTCCAATACTATAGAAAAGTTGCTGTGCATGTACTCTTGTTGAACCATGCAAAAACTTGCCAGTTAATAGCTGACATCCCACAAATCTAGTAGAATTGCTGGTCAATTCTGCAGAAAAGAAAAGCACCAACCATTGATTTTATGGGCTTAAGACAGCAGAAAAGGAAGGTGGTAGCACATCGTATGGCTGGTAGGCAGCAAGAAAATGGAAGGCCAATCCCAACAAATGGGCAAGCTGACGACACATCGATTTAGTGGAAACGGAAAGGGAGTGTAAGCATATAGCTGGATTCTCCATGTTTAAAATTTTAGATAAATACTCCTTGAAATGTATAGATTCCGAATATAATCTGGGCAATTCCATGTATAATAAAGGAATCAAACTTTTAGCCACCCTCCTATTTTTCAAGAAGTAACAGGGATAGGTTTGCATCCCAATTTTTAACATGCTTTCGGCCTATGTGACTCATGCTTATTTAGTTTCTTCTTCATGTATGAGAGTTCTTTTTCTCTTCAAGAGAGTCAACCATGATGAATGATGAGAAACCCCACCAATGTAATCAAAGCAGAGTCCCAAAATTTACAAACCTCCTATCAGCAAAATGTAAGAAATTATCTTAAGTGATCCTCAACAGTGAAGACCATGAAAGAAAAAGGAAATGTTACCACAGACATTCAAACATTGGGATGAAGAAGACTCAAGAAACTCCATGATAACATAAATCAATGAACCTCACATGATCCTCGCAAGAGCAAATAAATTTGGAAAATCATAAGACAAATATACTCGAAGGTCAAAGATGCAGCACTCATCAATGAAATTAAAAAAAAAAAAAATCCCTACCATTAAAGAATATAAATAATCTAGAATTGATCAACCATCCAATTAAGATTTTTCTGATTTGGATTTAGATTAAAATGAAGATGTTGTGAATCTAAAATAACATGTAGAAACTAAATGATATATTGAGCTTCTTGAATTTCTCAATATAGAATTTGACCAAGTTTAATCCAAATCTTGGGAGAGGGAGTTATATCCTCTCATAAAGAAGCATTCTCCCTTGTACAGAAAAAAAAGGAAGAAGAAAGTTATATAGGAAACACGTATCTAAGAAGGGTCAACTATGTCAATAGATAAAAATCAAAATAAATGACTGATTGCTACTAAGCCTACCAATACTGAAGGAAAAAAATACCACAATAAAGGTATCCAATACAGAGTGGAACATCAAACTAAAAAAAAATTAAAAACTCCATGGAAGACTACAAGGCTGTGGAGAGCAGGAAAAAAGTCAATCGAATTGATAGGCTCATTTCAAATAAGCAAAAAAGCTCAATTCAGGAGAAATTAATAAGCTAAGATATCTTCTCAACATTCCTGAAAGACCATTTAGGTCATGCTCCCTAATTGTGCTTTTAGTGCTTCAAATAATTTAACACTAGGCTTAAAAACTCAAGTGCCACTTATCACATAAAAAACTCTGATAACAACTCCATAACCGATATATAATACTTAAAAAATGTTAAAAGGTGAACTCAAAATTAATGTAAAATTTATTTCCAGATTTTTTAATCTCATAAAAGTTGCAGATATGGCTTGCTTAGGTGGATGAGTGGCCTTACTCTTAGAGATAGGATACGAAATGAGCATATACCTGAAAAGGTTGGAGTAGCTCTAGTAGAAGATAAAATTAGAGAGAGTCGCCTTAGATGATTTGGTCACATAAAACAGCGGGCTTCTGATGACCCGGTTAGGAAAGTAGACGCATTAGATTTGACTTATGTTAAGAAAGGTAGAGGTAGACATAAAAAAAATTAGTTTAGAAAATATTTGAAATGACCTTTGTTTATTAGATTTAAATGACAATTTACCTTTTAACATGGCACAATGGAGAAAAAGGATTCATATAGCCGACCCCACAAAGTGAGATCAAGGCTTGATGTTGTTATTGTATGAAAATGATTAACAATATTTTTTTAAAAATTATATATTTTTCTCTTATAATTTGGATATATATATATATATATAGACACATACACACACTTTTATAAATATAAGCATAAGCAACTCCTCATTCCCACTCCATCTTCGATAAAGTGAGAACTGGCTGAAGCGAAGAAAAAAAAAAGAAAAACAGAAGAGAGCTTAGTTGGTGAGAAAATTTTAGTATTTTGTAATTTCTTCTGCAGCAGATTTTGGTTTGAGGCTAGTAGGCTTAAGAGCTTATATGAGTAATTATGCTTAAGAGCTTCTATGAGTAATTATTTTGAGCTTATTTTAGTTAAAAAATTATGATTTTCTATAAATTGAAGAGATTATTTTCTCCGACATCATATAAAAAAGATCAAGATCTCGAGATGATAGGAGTAAGGCAATTCGTTGTGTTTAATCAAGTGCTTGCCATAAAATACTCAATCTCCATCATAGTGAGCAAAAAATATTCATAAGGCTATTGCTTGTTCATTCCAATGGTTATATTGGAATTTTATGTCTATTCTAGTTGAAAATTCATTATATTAAGCATATTATGGTCATATCAATAAGTTTAATGCATTTTTAATAATTACATGTTCAAGATAATTGCAGGTTATTTTCATATAATACAATTTTCATAATTGTTTCACAATTCATCAGGCTTATTTAAGCAATCAAATATTTTTATCACGATTCGTCATGCTTATGGCTTTAATAGATGTTGATAAACATTGCAGATTAGCATGCTCATAATAATATTTCGTACAGATTAACTGTTTATGATACCGATGCTAAGAGAGAAAGTCCAAGAAAGCTGAGTTTTTGGCAAACTATGATAACCAGTTCATAGAGGGGCAAAATTTATAAAAGAGCCTCAGAAAAAGGTTCCTAAGTCCCAATACTTGTTAATTAACAGTAGTTCATCCTTAATTGAGAGGTCATTTAAATTTGTTATGTTGCAATAATTGAAACCCTTAACAAGGACTATTAAACGCCTACAATATAGGTGATGATCATATGATATATAAATATCTCAAAAACTACAAGACATTATTTGACACTTCTAAGACTATGACAAATAAGAATGAGAAAAATATAAGACAGTAGACTAGTATTATGATGGTACCCGTTACCTAGCTTAACTCATTGAATGTTTGTACATTAGATAATCAGATTTTCCATTCCTTGCAAGAATTCATGCCTAGTATTTATGATTATATCATTTTCCTGTTTATGGAAGCATGATTCAATTTAACAATTATTGCATTCAGCTAGCTATCTGTATGATTAATAAATCTCATATTAATTCAAATAATCAACATGATATAATGTATAATATTTTCTTGTATGTTGAACTCTATATTATAGTTATTAATCCCACTACATTTTATAGCCCACAAAAAATTTATTTTGGTTACAATTTCAGGTAAGGCAAAAGAGCATGTTAGCTTTTATTGCGATGGTCAAATTAAAAAAATATATATAATTAAAAATAAAAAAAGATGGTCAAATTTCTTCCTTATCTTAATATTTTGTTAGAACATGATCATTCTTGAACGGGTAAAATGTATGATGAATAATGCAAGTTTTCCAAAGACACTACTAGTAGAAGCAATCAATACAGTTGTCAATTTGATGAGTAGTTGTCTTGATTTTCCATTAAGTTCACAACAAAACTTGAATTGGACAATCAGGAGACAACACAATGTTTAAAGTATTTGGTTGCATTGCATATTCTTTGCATAAGATAGGACAAATTATAATTGAGAGCCTGGAATGCATATTCCTAGTGACAAGAATATTGGTTAGTTGATGTTAACTCGAATGGAACATTCCACCACAAGCTTACATATTTTAAGCTGATCAAGAAGCAAGAAAAGGAAAAAAAACCGACATAAAAAGTTTTTGGGTCGTCCATAACACCAATCTGCCAACAATCACTATCATGCCTCAAGCATAGATAACTTAAACTAACCCTAGACCAAGATCTCAATATAAGCTTAAGGGACCAACCAAACTAAGGCCCCGTTTGGTACGACGTCGCGGCTGCATTACTTTTTAAGATGTGAACAAGAGACTGTTTAGGGTAGTGTATTTTAATCGCGCCCTAAAAATTTTCACATTTGCAACCTTCTTTTGGCGACATAAGTACACCTCAGCATCATTTATGGCAATAAACTTAAATTGACCAGCCCTTACACAACCCTATTATACTAATCAATCAAGTTTGTTGTTTGAGAATTTTGACCGACATACCCAACAAGAGAAGTTAGGAGGGTTATTTTTATAATTAGGTGAACTTATAGGTCTTTTAAAAAAATCAATAGAATATTCCTTATGAGTTAAATCAACTAGCAAATTGAAATATTTTTAAGAGTTAAATGGTATGCTAGTAATATTTATGATTTGGATGGTACACTAATAAATTCATATATTTTGAGTAATACAATCGTTAAAACCGAAAAAGAAAAACAACTACATTATTATGAAATACGAAGTTGTGTTGCACATATGTCTTATATAGGTCATATCATATATGCTAACAAGACATTCAGGATTACAAGAATTCCTAGCTTTACACCGAAGAGGTCTTGCCATAATAATCATCAAATTCAGAATGATAATAATTGTTGCTGAGATTTTAAATCATTACGTCTATCATTCTAATTTAGACAAATTATTTTATATGAGCATGAACATTTGAAAATGCATTTAATATCTGAGGTGAAACAACCAACGGAATTGCAAGATTTTATTAAGAAATTTGTTTTAGCAATGAATTTATAAGGTTAATGTTTCACCAAGTTAGGATTTTCAGTTTTCGTAGTTATTTACTTGCTTCTAGCATACGGTTACACGATAGATTAACAGAACGATTCAAGACAATAACAAGATGATAGCAAGACAAATATGCAATTAACAATAATTCGGCAATTAACAAATAGAACTTTCACCTTCGAGTTTCCCTCTCGATCGCTCTTTGGAAGTAGGGTTAGCTGAGGATGAAGGTTAGCAAACCCAGTGACGCCACCAAAAGACAAAGGATGTTGACGGTTTTGATCAATGGAGAGTTGGCCAGAGTTGGAGAGACGGGTGGTCGTCCGACGATCTTCCACGATCCTGTGGGTTGTTGCTCTTCGATGACGTCCGCTAAAGTGAAGAGAATACGCTACACATATTCTTCGACGCTGCCTTCGGATCCAAATCCGAGATTGAAGAAAGGTGATTGAATGATGTCAATTTCCTCTTGAGAATTGTAAATGAATCTGTGATCAACTTCCGCATCCGCCATACATGGACATGGGAGAACTCTTTGTTGTGTGCCTTGGAGGGGAGGTCCGGTGTTTGGTGGTCGGGAAAGGAGGGGCGGCAGTTTGGGCTAGGCAGGATGAGGGAAGGGACGGCTAGGGTTAGTGGAGGGGATTTGAGGTTTTAATTTCTCCTTTTTGGAAGTAATTATCCGAAGAGTGTAATTAATTAAAGGAAATAATGGGGTGGGGGCAAGAACTAGAATTCAAATTTTGAATTCAAAATTCAAATGAGAGTTAGGGCCTCATTAGGAAAAACCATGGTGATGCACATTAATGGGGCCGACAGCTTCATGAGGGGAGAGGGATTATGGAGAGATTTTGGGAGTTTCCAAATAGATCTTTGTAGACTAGGAAAGTAAATAAGAAATCTAATTTATTTTATTTTAAATAGGATTCATGACTAAAACTTTCCTTATTTGGGTTTTTAAATAAGGAAAGTATTTGAAATTCAAATTTGAATTTCAAATGATTTAAATCTCTCCCTTAATTGCTTGAGTTTATTTAGGAAGGGAGTTATGATGATTGAAATCATCATAATTGAATGGGAGCAAGAGGGGAGGCCGGCGGCAAAGGGTAAGGGGGTGAGGGCGTCGGGTGTGAGGAGAGGGGTGGTGGGGTGGGATCGGCCGCCGAGGTTATGAGGTGGCCAGCGGCTTGTTGGGTGGAGGGGCGGTGGGTAATGGGGAATCAAGGAGAGGGGTTGAGGCCGTCGGTTTGGGGAGAAAGGGAGGGGATTGTCGGCGGTATAGGGGAAGAGGAAGATGAAGACTAAAATAAAGAACCAAGAACTTACAAAGAGATCGTAGAACCGCAAACCTTAGAATCCTTCAAAGGTTGACGGGTATTGCTTTCACCCACCAAGAGTTTCTTCTCAGGAACTCACTAAGAGAACAAAGAAAGCTGAAATTTTCTTAATCATTCATCATTCGAAAATAATACAAAGACTAGGTCTTCATATATAGGCCTCCAAAGCACAAAATATATAAGACACAAATGTCCTCAGGCTACAACATGATACAAATCCCTCATAGGAGTAGAAGTGGAAAAATGAAAAATAAAATAAGTGCACTAAAACATCATAAATAAATACTATGAATAGTAGCCGTCGATCTACGATCCCACCGATGGTAAGTACGTCAAAATGTCCGGTGGATGTCCTCATCAATATCCGTATTGGAAATCTATTCGATACCCCTCGGACATGGCCCAACACATAAAACGACATGTCTAGGGTAATTATTCCTAAACTTAAGACTTGATTTCAACTCCCCAGCGCTCAATCCTCCTTTCATCTTGATGTTGTCCCCCGTTTGTTAGTGTGGCACGCCATAGGAACCCCTCATTCGAATGTTGTCTCTTCTTTTGTAATCTCCCATCTCAACAAATACTCCCAAAATGTTTCTCCTCAATCAAACCAACTATATTGAATCTTCTAAGTCAAACTTCATCCATTTTCGAGCATGCTATGTTGAGAACTCTATAATCTCATCTTCTACTGAGCTGCTCCTCTATAATTTATCACTCCACTGACACTCTCCATCCCCCTTGTGGCACGCCTTCAAAAACTCTTTTACTTGACTTAGTAGTACTTTCTTACTCTCTTAATTTTTGCCTAAGAAAGGCTACAACTCCCTAAAAACCCTAATTGCATATTGATAATTATGACTTAATTTTTTTTTCCTTACTCAAAGTAGATATCTTTTATTTTTAGTCTACACCAAATCTTCACATCTTCATATTTTAGGTTTCCTCGGGAAAAAGTAATTTGGAATTTTTGTGTAGAAAATAAATGTTTGTGTGTGATATTTTACTTCAATGTGATGCTTTTTTCAAAAATAATATAGCCAATGATATTTTGATAACAATTTTTAAATTAATATTGTATTAAAAAAACATCATATCCACCACAGCTCATATCCTAATTTTTAAGGTTATGTCAAATCATTGTTGAAGTATTGTAACGTACTTGTGCTTCATGTCAGTGCCTGTGCTTCATAAATTATTGTCAATTCTAGGGGTGTCAATTTCGGGTCACGGGTTGAGTTCAGGTCGAACCCGGAACTGACCCGGCACCATTCGGGTCAACCTAAACCTGACCCATTTTTGCAAACGGGTCGATTTCCTGGACCCGAACCCCACCCGCTTCGGGTTCGGGTCAACCAGACACGACCCGTTATCCACTGCAAGCGGGCAACGGCGCAGGTTCGCAGCAGGACACGGTGGGTTCGTAGCAGGACACAGTGTGACGGGAAGTTCCGCGTGGGCAGACGAGCGACGTGTGGCACGTGCACGAGGACTCGCGATGCGACGCGGGCAGCTTCGGTCAGGCCCGGTTAGGGCGGGCAGCGGGTCATTCCGGGTCATTACCAGGTTTTCGGGTCAACCCGAACCCGACCCGGTTCGGGTTCGGGTCAACACGAACCCGAAATTTTCGGGTCGGGTTCGAGTAGGATTTTCGAGTCGTGTCCAATATTGAAACCCCTAATCAATTCCAGTATATATAGGTCTTTTTGAAAATCTCATAATTCTATCCATCTTTATTTCAATTCCTGTCAGAATAACACTAAATTGCATCTTTTTTATGCTTCTTTTAAGTCTTTACCGCAAGTTTTCATGCTATTTTTTTATTTCCAACTACCTCAATCCCAAAAGACTCTTCCCTCACACTTTCACTTAATTAATTTTGAATCATAAAAGTTTTGATTTTCACTACAATCAGCATTTGCATATATGACTTTTGGCCCAACGCTTAAAATTGCATAATAGCACGTGTTAATGCCACTCAACAAGATTTCAACCTTAACTAGCATACTAAGCGTAATTCCACGGCCATTATAACTACCCTAAACACTTGCCTATTCCAAAATACCATAAACATACACAAGCACACAAATATAAATGACAGAAACACTCCACTACAATCCAAAAAAAAAATTAAACTAAAGTTTAAGAAGCTTACTTAATATAGTCAGTTGCCCTTTCATACATCCCACGACCAACAAAATTATGCTCCTTCACATAAGAAAATAGCAGCTTAGAATTACATCAAAGCGTATTCTAATTATCATTGATGTAACTTTACGTAGATGATGGTGAGGAAGAAGAAAAACAATAACCTGGTTGAGCCACTTAAGAAGACGCACTACAGCCCATTGGTCACATGGCAACATAAGTCGGTGGCAAACCGGGATGCGCATTAACAGACTAAGAAAAACTCTGAAAACAGCATATATGACAATTACAAGGACATATATCTTGAAGAATATAGAATCAGACCCGTCCTGCAGTGCCTTACTGTGCAAACAGTTTAAGGCATATGATTAACGTCATTAATAATCACAGTTACAACAAAAAACAAAATTTGAGCCACAAAAAAAGCTGTAGAAAGAAAAACTTACACAAAAAGGTAGCTTATAAGAAGTGAAACAAATGTGAACCAAAGAAACCGGCAGATGATGCGGGAGACCGCAGAGCTACGAGAAGTAGAGTATGCACCATACATCATCAGAATGTCAAGGATACCTATATAGTGTTTCAAGCAAAATTAGTATTAAACCTCTTTGTGATCTATGCAAATCTAGTCTGATGGATAGAGTTTGGTAAGTAGCAAAAACTTAAAAGTTAAAAACATAGAATACAAAAGCATACTTTCTACGAACTTCATCACAACATATGTAGGACCAAGGCTAAGCAGCTGTTTCCCAGTCTTCAAATCTAGATTCCCTTTATTAAAGGCTATGATAGTTAAACCCTGAAAAACACAAGCAGCGCCTAGAATAGTATCTATCCAAGAAGAAGCAATTAAAGTTTGAAAGAAAAGAATTTTAGCAATAAAACTAAAGCAGCAGTAAATAAGCTGATTAGCATGCAAAGTAATCCAAAGGTACATATCACAGAAAATTATCTAGATTTGATGCAATAGTTTTGTGCAATTGAAAAAGAAAAGAAAAACCAGAACAAACAACTGCTATATTTTATAACATTTAAAGGACCATCAAATGTAATGCTGCAAATTGGACTAGACTTCCTACTGCCAAAACATGGGAAGCTGTCTGCAAATGTTTAAAAATGTATCACCTACATCCACAAAATCAACAGGAAAATGGAACAACTAGAAGGATGGTATCAACAGCACTTAAGGTTACCACATGAATCAGCAATGTAAAGTATGTGAAAACCCGAAAAAAATGGCGTTTTAGATCTCGCACGCTTTCAAAGCGCCGCGATGAGTTTTAAATAAAAAATTCAATGTTGTCGGATTTCGACGGGAATAATTTTATAAAATTCTACGCAAAATTTGGAGCGATTTGAAATATAAAACTTATATTTAATTCCTCTTAATTTGAGAGATAAAAATTTCTGAAGACTAATAATACCAATAGTACCCTTAGATGTTATTAATGCTTCGAGAGTTTAAGTGAGGGCAAAAAGGGTCTTTTGCAATCCCTATTTCCTTAAGTTATGAAAGAACCAAAACCAGACTCATTCCTTCCGCTCTTTTTGGTCGGCCGAAACGAAGGGAGGTGGAACCGAGAGGAAGAGGCGCGCGGAAGGGAGCGGCGGGAAGCTTCGGGCGGCCGGTTCCGCGAGCGGCGGGAAGCTTCGGGCGGCCGTTTCCGACGGCCGTTCATGGAAGAAATTGTAGGAAGATTAAGAGAGGATAAGGTGAGTTCTTATGGACATTTCCCATGTTTTTCCTTAGGGTTTTCTCAAGAAAGATTCTAGGGTTGAGAAAACTTTGTTTTTCTTAAAAAATTTAATGGGGATTGTTAGGGAATGATTAGGAGATAATTTATGCATAGAAATGAAAATTTTCTTTAAAGATTGTGAGTTGGAAAATTAGGGTTTTTTCCCTAAAGTTGAAATTTTTTAAAATGCTTTTAAAACTTGGTTCCTAAGGGTCCTAAGAATGTTTCTGAAGGTATAAATTAGGCTTTTCTTACAAAATGATATTCCCAATATTTAATTTAAATAATCCGAAAATAATTACCTTAATGTTAATTAAAGTTTAGGTTAATAATAGATTAAAGATTTATGTTAATGACATTCGTTTATGTTAATAACATTGATTTATAATAATGATATTCATGTCATTTGATAAAAAGTAATTAAGATTTAATATTTATTTACGTTAATGGTTTCTTTATATTAATGATTAGGAATTAAGGTTAATGTTGGGTAAGGGGAATTTTGATAAATGATTAAGCAAATTAAATACATATGTTTGTAATTATGAAAATGAGAGAGAGCGAGTGAGAGAAAGAGAGTACTAGAGTAGTTTAGAAAGAGAAGGAAGATTTTGTTTTAAATTATTTTGTAGATTTTAAGAATGAGAAATTGATACTTATAGGTGATTAATCGTGGTGACATCGAAGGAAGAAGGATTAGCGAGGAGAAATCAATTTTCTAATTTTCAGGTAAGTATACATGATTCTTTATTACGGCATTACTTTTGTTTCTCTCCAGTTCTATGTTTTGAAAGTCCCAACATGTTCATGCAATATTTATAATTAATTTAGATCATGATTTTACTACTCTGTTCAAATGATTGATCATGCAAAGTTTATGCTATATTTTATAACATTATATGATAGAGATTATGTAATTTATGAAATGAAAAGAAATGATATGATATGAATGTTATATTGAATGATTAAATGTGCATGCTGATTAGATGGAGTTCACCCCCTTATGGTACTAGCTGGTGACACTGTACTCGTACACGATAAAATGGTAAAGGAAATGGAAAAGGAAAATGGTAAAGGAGTACCTTTATGGTACAGACGGTGACTCTTGTGACGGTTGTATTATATACGAAAAGAGAAAGTTAAGTAAAATGATATGAATATGGAAAGGAAAATGAAAGATATGGCTTATGATATGATATGTTTAATGATATGTTAGTATGAAATCATTTTTATTTTATGTTAATATGAAATTGGCATCTATCATATTACACAGTTTTCTTGTTTACTGTAGTTTAGGATTGTGTATTACTTACTGAGTTTTAGCTTAATGTTAGTTGTTAATATTTTCAGGTAAGCTTAAATTAATCAAATGAGTAGAAGCGGCGGCAATGTTTATCGTAGGGGAGGAGCTCCAGAAGAAAGGTAATTATGAATTTATTGAGGTTTATGTTTATGTGTTTTCAATTTGATGTTTTAGAAGCTCTTTCAATTATTATGGAAATAGTTTTAGAGATTAAAAAATTTTAACCTACCGTCCGACCTTTGTTCCCGCCTCGCCCATGCGAACTCATCGGGCCGGATCGTGACAAAGTAATTCGTATCAGAGAATAAGCTGAACAGAATGTAAGCAATCCACAGCTACGTAATGGAAAAAATGGTCATGATTTGAGGCAATAGTTTTGTGCAACTGCATTTAAAAAAAAAAAAAAAAAGTAGAACAGAAGAAACAACTGCCAGATTTTATAACATATTTAAAGGACCTTCAAATGGAATGCTGCAAACTGAACTCTACTTCCTACTACCAAAAGATGGGGAAGCTGCCTGCAAATGTTCAAAAAGTCACTTTATCCACAATCAAAAAGAAAATGGAACAACTGATGTAGAACAAGGGAGGATAATTCAGGGGATGACCTATAGACAGCAGTTTAGATCTTCCAAACATCAGTTGTGAGCCGTGCAATGGCTGGCTTTGCATGGGCAATGGCTGAAATTTCTGGCTGTAGTTTTAGAAAGAAGAGGACTCAATGTTGGGTGGAATTTGGAGAGGATTTAATGGAAGGGAATTAGTGAGAGAGAGCTTTGGAATATTCGGCAAGCAGCAGGTTGAATTTCCAAACTTTTCCCAAAGAGAAACAATGGAATCTGAGTAGACTTTAGGAAAAGAAAAATCCCATAAGGGGAGCTGACGGGATGTAGAGGGAATTATGGAGTTATTTCCTAATTTGACTCCTCTGTTTTAGGAAATAAAGGCCTTAGGTTTGAAAATCGGGTGGCAAAAGGAGATCGTTGATTAATTCCAAAGAAAAGGAAAGCTGTGGTTGGAAAGGTTACACGTGATCGTGTGGTTTCGGTCAAAGGAGAATCATCAGGATTGCGAGATCTCATCCAAAATGTGGTTGTGCTGTTAGGAAAATATATCCTATTTTAATCTCCTAAAATGGGGAAAAAGGGATAGAAAATAAATCAAAAGGATTTATTAAAGAGGTGAGCGCGTGGTTTTGATATGAGGAGATTGGGGAGTGATTTTTGGGGTGCTTCAATTTAAGGCTTTAAAATTTGGGAAAGTGGTTTAAAATATATTCCTATTTGAATTTGAAATTCAAAATAAAATTCATTTAGTAACTTTCCAAATTTGAATGATTGAATTAGGGAGAGAATTCAACATCTGTAATTTAGATTGTAATTTGATTTTAAGAAACCACCCTAAATTAAATCACCAAATTAGAATTTAATATGTCATGAAGAAGAACTCAATCGTTTCCTAAATACTTTTTATTTAGAAAATATTTGGAAATTCAAATATAGATTTCAAATATGAAAAAATTTCCTAATTTAATTGAACTTTCTTTAGTAAGCATTTGTGGTATTGACTCTCATTCTGGAGACAAACAAGGAGTGCGGCGGTGGAGGAGCTAATGGGGGAAGTGGCCGCGGCTATGGAATTTTTGAAGCTTAGTTATGGATTTGGTCCGTTAGAGGTTGACGGTATTGCGATCACCCTTCTCGTCTCCTCCTCTCATGAACTCATAAAGAGATACAATCTCCACTCTGAACTCACTAAGAGATCAGACAATGGAATAAAATTTTCATTAGAAAATTCATCATCACCAAAATACAAAACAACTACTTATAGCGCTCATGAAAATGAAATAAAAAAATAAACTAAAAATGCCTTCGCGACTACATTAAGCTATAAATTAACACCCGTAAGAGTATAAAGGAAAAACATACAATATAAAAAAACTAGTAATAGAAATATATAAATAAAACAATAACTCAAGATCCATAGCGTTGATCCCATCCGATGTCTCATGATGTAGAACGGAACATGCACTGATGCATGATTAAGGAAGTTTGCATGCTAATCATTTTAAAGCAACAATATATTAAAGCTTCCTCTTTCGAATGTAAAGACAATAAAGATAGTGTAATAATAAAGTGTGGTTAATATACTAGTCAATGTACACATGCGGAAGGTGAGATCATTAAATAGTCAACTAGATCTTACTAAGTTGCATACATGGTGGTCAACAAAGGAATTCCAATGCCAACAATATTAGATTAGTCTATGAAAGATCCTCAACATCTCTTTCTAGATTACTAGCCTTTAGCGGCGAATATTAAATGATGATCTTCATGAAGGTAGTAAATTCACATCATCAGATGCAACTATGAGAGTAAAAGACTTAGTGTCCATATTACCCGAAAAACAAGAGAATACGCGTTCCGGCAAAGTTGGTGTCACTATTGTGGATGAATGTGGCAGGGACGAACCGCTTGAACCTCCTCATGCACTAAGAACACCGGAGTCGCTGGTGCCGAGAAATTCATAATACAGACAACATGGCAGAGACAGCAAGGAGGTATTATTGGACAATTTTATCTTGTTGATATAATCGGGCACACTTTGGCTGGGGGAACAAGCAATCTGGAGACTTTCAAAGGCTAGTGGACAGCAAGGTAGGAAATACCAAAAAGTCATGTAAACAGCTTGATGATTCTTCCGACAGCAATTATCCAGCAAAAAAATCTGAGAGGATCTAATCTTTGATCTCATATCTAGGATTTGGGAATGAAATTAAAAACTGAAGTATTATTGTTGAGGGGAAGATACGGAGCCTTTAGAGAGGTTTAAGGTATTTAGGGTGGTGGTGATGTTGTGGGCAATTAGAGAGAGGAAGCCATGAGGGTGGGGTATGGACCGGCCACGATGAGAGAGAGAGCGTTAGAGGTCTATAGGAGGTGTGAGAGACATATAGTAGAAACTGAAATCAATTTCAGTTTAAGTATGAGAGGAAAGTATTTGAAGAATCAATTTGAATTTAGACATTAGAAAGAGGTTAATTAATCTAAGACATCATGGGGAACCCATCATATAGGGCCGGCGGCATGGTGAGTGGAGGAGAGGGGAATAGGGAGGAGTAATACTTCTCAAATGAATAATCGATGCACTAGGATGAAAAATTGAAAAACTCCACATGCATGAAATTTGACTTGGCTCAATTCAAAACTTTCCTAATATAGAGATTTTGCAAATAGTGCGAAAGGGTTTGAGAATTCTAGATATTTTTGAAATTAAAAATTCGGTAAACTGCTTTAATTTATATGTAAGACAACAAGGTCAAGGAGGTCATTATGGATGATTGCGAGATCGTACATGAAGCACTGTGGAGAGCAAGGTGAAGAGCTGGGCGGAAAGGAGGAATTGCAGGGGAATAGGGATGCGGACTCTGGTGTCGTGAGCTTAGTTGAGAGGGAGTTGGAGTCTTTGTGGTGGATGCTGGGGGTAGTTGGGGAATGTAGCGGGAAGATGTGGTAAGCTGATAGTGCTTAGGCGTGGGGGGGAGAGAACAATAGAATATTGAGAGAAAAATAATATAAAGATAAATACCATGCCAGTGAAGGACGCTTCACTGACTGGCGGTAGTGTTCTGCCCAAGTATCACCTGTGGCTACTCCACTGACTCATGAACCAGCAGAGATCTGGAGGAAAGACTCACTAAGCAGGAATCTAAGAGGGTGAACTCCGAAAGAGAACACAAGAACCAAATTTTTCACTCAATAATTCATCATCCTCAATAAAGAAAGCTAGCTATAAATAGCCTCATGAAAACGAAAAATAACAAAAGACTCAGAAATGCCCTTTCGGCACAATCACTACATGAAACCCATAAGGTATAAATGGGAAAACAACATGATATGAATAGATAAACTAGTACAGAAAATATAATAAATAACTAAATAAAATCATAGTAAGACGTATGTGATCTCCGGATGTCTCATAATCATCAATGCAGAGCTGATAGAAGGACGTGATATGTAAAGATTTTTAATATAATGTTCAGAGATAACACTATATAACAAGTATTCACCAGTTTGAGACTAATCTGGATAAACGTTATGGTCTGCCAAACGATAAGATGATTAAAAGGCAAAATTGGATACAGCATAAAGCCATCTGCATGTGAGCAGAGGGCAGATGATAATGCATATAATAATCATAGCATAGTGTGCTTCCGAGAAGTGAGCAAATTGATCGCAGGAACTCTACGACACTATTATAATTTAGAGGAATATGCAATAGACATACCCCAAAACTGGTAGGACAAGGATAGCATAAAATAAGGCAACATGTTCAAGAGTACAAAGCAAAATGGAGGACATTAAACTATAGAAAAAATGTGAAGAATTCTCTAGGAGAAGAATATCGACTAATAGCATCATAAACAGATTAATCACAAGTCTTGTGAAAATTGTGGGGTATAAGATAAGGTAAGTTACGAATCTTCTCACAAAGGAGGTCTATCCACGCTGATAGTTTGCCTCCAGTGGGAAAGAGAATGAACGCTTATTTAAAAAAAAATAAAAAGTTAATACAGAGTTTTTCACAATTATAAGGCACAGCTTTAAAAGTGAAGATATGAAGAGAAATAGAAAACGGAAGGCACTGAATAGTTAGTTGAGCATCAGGCGCAAAACTTTGGCATAAAATCTGTTCTCTTACCAACGATATAGATAAGAAGTTCTTACCTAGTGAGCTCAATAATATTCACAATATTGTTCGTAGACCGACAAAAAAAATCAATGTTAAGCAAATTAGTTTGATCGCATGTTCCACTTAGCCAAGTTTGCAAGTACATGAAAAATCCGCCATCTGACCTGTTTACATGCCAATTTACAGTACTACATCGTTAATAGAACCAATTTTACCAGCGGATCTACAATTCTCAAGGGGAAAACACATGGGACTAAACTGAGACTGAGACATAGCTGGATGGATAATAGCATTAATAAAGCTTAAACTGAGACTGATTCCATTGGACTCCTCAGAAGGATGAAGTGTCCGACACGACACTCGTCAAGACAGGGCATGGTCTAACGATGTCCGACACGCGTGAGAGAAGAGAATGAATAACGTGTCCGATTAAAAATTTAAAAAATAAATAATGAACGGAACGCGTGTCCGACACGCGATTCTTAAATATTTTATATTTTTTAAAATATAATTTTTATGATTTTGGGAGATTTAAACTAAATTTCTTTATTTCCTATCCACAACATCAAATCAACGTCTGCATTTATATCATTCATCGAATATTCTCATTTTCCATTTCTCTTTGGCAGTGAAGTATTTTCATCTCCTCTCTTTTTGCACAATTATAAATCTTTCTCTTGTTGAACCAGAGTTGAAAGCAGTGATATTCAATGATGATGATATTGAAGGCCAAAATCAAACTCTAAAGCTAATCATAGTAGTTGAAGCTTGAATCTTGATGTTGTTAGTAATAATTATTGCTTATATTTTTGTGGTTGACTAGATATTTTGTACTAATATTTTATATTATAAGCTAGACAAGTTATCATGTCATTCATTTATTATTATTTGTCATTTTATATGATTTACATTATATATATATACTATATAAAAAATGTATTATCGTGTCAGCGTCGTACCCGTGTCCTATATTTTCAAAAAAAAAATCGTGTCTGTGTCGTGTCCATGTCGCCGTGTCCGTGTCTGTGCATCATAGAGCTTAAGCAATCAAGTATGGTTTACCATTAATACATAGAGCATATAACTCTTGTTCACATCTCATGCGTGATGATTTATCCTGTCAAGCCTATCTCAACATAATCCTAGTTGTATGTAGAAAAAAAAAAGGAAGAAAGCAGAAAGAAGATGATGAAGACAAAAGGCAATGGGAAAGAAAACATATAAAGAGGTTAAGGGGTTGGAGAATAAGGAATTACAAGAGAATCGACAGAAAACCACATAGATTACTTCAAAAAAAAAAAGAATATGAGAAAAACGAAGACGAGGGTGAAAGATAGGCTCCTAGAGAACAAGACCTATCCTAATAATGGGATCCCCTATAGGGCATAACATTCTATAGCAAAAATGGGCATGGAGATGAGAAAAGCAAGGGTGGAGGAAAAGGAGAAAGTAAGAGAAGAAAGAAGAAAAATAAAACAGGAGAAAAGAAATGGGACAACTAGAAAACTATTCACCACAACGAAACAGAACACAATTGTGCACCCCAACAATCACAAAAACAAAATTTGAGCCCCCCAACTCATGATCTCCATGTCCCAACTGCCCACATCTCTCTCACTTAAGATCATCGCCCCAATTAATTTAATACAACTCCACTACCTAGCACACCCATCTTTATTCCTTTGTTGTGCAACCTACTCATCTGACTCCCTCTCACACGTGCATCCTCACCAATTGGTAGATACCACTTATGGCGCTCTGGAAAGTGAAACTAGCGCCTGCTCTCAACATTTTGCCTAACGCTCTAACTGAACCTTGCATTTTCTCACTCACTCTCAGCTAATTCTCAACGAATTTTCTCTAGCCCAATTCGCCTTTCTCCCAAACCTCGTTCACAACTCTCATCTCACATGCTTTGAGTGGCTCACAGCTTACTCTCCCTACGTTACTTGCCCCGATCTATTGCCTCCCTCACACATCATTATTCGACTTACTTCCACTATAGCATTAAGACTTGGCCTGGCAAATTTGCCTCCCATGTCCATAGTAGCTTTGCCACTAGGCCTTACACTATATCGATATTTGCACTTTCAGATGATCCATAGTTTTGATACCAAACACATCATTGTCCGACATACTTTCAATAAATTAAATACTTTGTGCCATCGATCTTTAATCCTAATGAATTAGGAGACAAAAACCCTATTAACGATCTTTCATCTGATATGAGATATCTCCTTAATTAATCTTTGGCCTAGTAATAAGAGGTTATTGCATTTTCTTCATCAAACAAACAAGTGGTGTGCCTTAGTTGGTTTAACCAAAAAATTAAACCTAACCGTGTTCGGTTTACTTTGTACTGTCTTTTAGAAAATGGTTAGGTCTTTAGTTTGGAATAAGGATTATTAAGATCATGATTGATGATTAAATTTTTTATAAAAAAAATGATACAAAAAAACCAAATTTTGGTTTAAAATAGAATTTGCAAGTTACTCATTGTTTATAAATAAATTTAATGAAAGAAAATATATTATCCAAATTTTTATTATGGTTGGACTAGTGTTTTTTATTTGTAAAATTGCGCTATTATGCTTCGTTGAAAAAGGTTATCTGACTTGATGAGATAGTACTATTATTATTATTATTAAATTTCAATTAAACAAAAAATCAAACAAAATAAACCGAATTATATTTTGATTTCATTTAGTCTGGTTCTATTATAAGAAAAGTTTAGTCAATTCAATTTCTCCTATTTTGGATTTCGGAACCAAAATCATTCAATTTGACAAATCTATTAACCAATCCATCAAAATCGACTAATTGCAAACCCTTGCGTTAGATAAAAATGTTAATAGTGACTCAAAAATTGCTATCAAATAGATGTCATTGTAGTCCTTGAGTGACTGATTCCAGATTCGCTAAAGCCTATGATCTCTTTAGCTGCCAAACTAGATGTAAATTAGATGCCTCTATCATGCTTTAACGGTTGGGAAAGAAGAAATGGAAAAAGGAACAAAATAAAATAAAAGAACAATAATAACTACTTATAGTCAATCTTAATAGGCAGAAACTCTATAGAAACTTTCAAACAATCATTAAGAAGATAATAATGCAATTGCCAGGCGACTTTCACGCTGTCAGTATACTCATGATTTTCTAATAACCCAAATGAACCAAGTTTTATCACTACCACCAAAGCTCCTTTCATGAGAAGGAAATAAAGAGAACATAAAACTAGCTCTAACCAGCAAAATGGCACGATAAAAAAATTGAAGATAATCTAGACAAATCATGCAAAACTATATAATTCACCTTAAAATCACATCCAATTTGGAGAGCAAAGATAAAATTTAACCAATTCGACAAATATCGACAAACATGTTGGTCTCAATTAATTATTACAACCGGCATGTGTCTAGCAAATGATTGTTCAGCATGTCCAAGCAAAGAAAAAATTCATTTCAAACTGAGTAAGCCATGCATATAAAATAACAAAGGAAATATATACATCTAAGCCTATTACAATCAATCCCACCATTTGAGTCTCATTTCTTCCAAAACGAGGTAGCAAGGTGAAGTAGAACGGGTAGGAGGCTTTGCTAGGAAGAGGATCTCTTCTCCAAAATCTGAAGAAAATTTTGATTTCTTTGCCCAAAACCTGAGAAGAATCTCATATTTTCTTTTGGTAGGAGAGAGGTTGCAAGCTCCAAACCTCCTCTCCTATAATCTGAAAACAATTTCAGATTTTCAACCAAAAAAATCTGAGAGGAGTTCTCAGATTTTAGTGGGCTAGGACGTAGAGAACTTGAGGAGTCTAGCCTTGGTTGTGAATAGAAAGCTGAGAACAAACTTCCTTTACAGGTTTTGGAAGAGAGAGCTTAACTAATGCAATTAGGAGTGAGTAGGGGCAGTGACAGGGAGAGGGGGTCGGCGGGATTGAGAGGGGGTGAGCTCATGTTTCCTAAATCCAACCTCTAGTATTAGGAAATAATTTAGAGCCAAGATATGAATGAGAATTTCGGCCAGGTAAGAGTTACACGAATTGTAATTATTTCACATTGGGATTTGGTGCCATGTGTACAAGCTTGCCTAAAATAGTTTTAGACATAGGAAATTAATTAACTCTATTTGAATTTGAATTCAAATATTATTAACTTAAGAAACTTTCCGAAAATAGATTCGCTAATTTAGGAAAGATTTCAAAATTCACAATGTTTTGAATTTGAAATGAGGGATTTGTGGAGGAAAAATTTTGAGTTAATGAGGGAGTTAATTAGGAGCATTAATTGGCTCTTAATTTGGCAAAGGAAGGAGGAAGAGGGGCCGGCCTATGAGAGAGGGAGGGAGAGGGGTTTGATTTCAAATAAGTGGGCCCCAATTGCTCAAGGGAATTAATTCTTAAATCTGAAATTGAATTTCAGATTTAAAGCTGCGATTAATTCCTTAATTAAAGGGAGGAAATTGAGGGGGCATTTAACTCCTAATAGAAATTTGAATTTTGGATTTGAAGAGTTAAAACCTTCCAAATATGGATCAAACACAATTAGGAAAGATTTCAAATTCAAATTCAAAAGGATTTGAAATCTTTGATCATCCCAATTAAATCATCAACCTAATTAGGAAATTTCAAGGAGACGGAGAAGTGGGGATGAGGCCGGCAGCTAGGGAGCCATGGCCGGCGGTTTGAAGGATTTTCTGGTGAGGTGGCAGGCGGCTTATGGAAGAAATGGAGACGACGATGGTGGACGTAGGTAGAGGATGACGATGACGGCTAGGAAATAAGAAGGAACAAAACAAAAACAAAGATAGAAGATAAAAAACAACCGTGACCGTTGGACTCTTCCGAAGACTGACGGGTGATGCTTTGCCCTTCTCCAAGGGACTTCAAGTCACGAGCCCGGACCCATCCTGCGGCTGGTGAAAATTCTGATTCCTTCCCATAAGAATCTCACTATCGTACTCTCAAAAGAACACAAGTGTTGAACACAAATTTTAATATCAATAATCCATCCCCTATTACAATAGCTTAAGGCCCTATATATAGGTCACAACATAAGAAAACTCAAAATACAAAATTGCCCCTTGGGCCACAACACTCACATAAACCAACCTAGGGCTAAAACAAGAAATACATCAAATAAGAACTAAAATTCAGAAAAATAACTCATAATTGAAGATTTAAATTATAGTCATCGAATTACGACGCCTCCTGTGATAGATGCGCCAAATCTTCGTACCGATGTCCGCATCACAAGGCCAATCATTTGGGCTTTTTTTGCCAACAAGGCCTTAAGACCCCAATTCAAATGTTCCACATAAAAGATCATATGACCCAGCCTTATTGGCCACTTTAAAACCATAACAACTAAACTTACATCAAATTTCTTTCAGCAATTTAGCTGTAGAGTCCGATCCATAGAATTATTGATTCCTAACACTACCATCAAAGTTCAAAATGATAGTTTAAAATAAATTCTCTTCTCAGGCTTCTCTCAGCATACAAGTTTTAATTTATGCTTACGGTCTTCCCAAGGATGTAAGTTATACCTCAATTAATGGGATCAACATAATCAATTGAAGTATTGAACTAATCCGTCTACGTTAACCATCATGTACCATTACTCAACTTTCCACATCCTTGAGGATGAAAATTCTACTAGACGTCAAGACCTAACTAGAAGTAAAAGCTTGAAAACCCCCCAAGCAAAGTCTGTAATTAATTTATACCGGTTGAATAGTAACAAATAGTAACAGGAAATTCAGCTATCAAATTTGATTGTAATAAGTAATAACATGGAAAAATATATATATATAATATCATTTTCTCTTACGATGATCTGATGTAGAACGGGAACGCGCTAGCCACTTAAAAATTCGAATATTAAATTTTCAGATTTATTTTTGAGGGGATTTGGAATTTGAATTTAAAATTTAACTCCAAGAGGGGAGGGGAGAATTACATGGATTAGGAGAAGAGGAGATAGGAGAGAAGGGGGAAACCGGCAACATTGCATGTAGTTTGGGGAGTTGGATTGGCGGGAGTTAATTGCTCTCGTCTAAATTAATTACAGCTTTAGAAAGAAGATAATCATCAAATTTAATTTTGAAATTGATTTGGATTGATTTAAGGAATGCAATTTAATAAATTTAAGATAAAGTGGAATGACCTCGCCATCGATCTTCGTCTCTTCTCTGATAAGCGTTACACGTTGAATATCTGCATCATGATCCTTGCTTAAATAAATTTTTTACATATGTAACGACCAGATATTTAAATTTATTAATGCACTAATCCAGATATATATCTATGTTAAATAATGCTCAGTTAATTAAAAACAAGCTGATGCAGGATATTTAGATTGAGTGCATATGGGTTCATTTAGGCATTGCACAACTCTTCGATTAAAATAATTTTAGAAAAAGTTACGAGCAATCCTCAACGAAGATTCAAAAATAAATAAAGAGGTAATTTGCTTAGGGAAATCGCATGCTCGGAGTTCGAAGTTTTCAAGATAAATAAGAAAATATAACAAACAAGTAGTAGCCTTCAAATAATCCTAATCTAACAACGAGAATTAGGATGCAAATAAAGACACGCTCAATTCCTATGATTACTAAGCTTTAGCAAGAGCATTGGGAGGAGACTTTGCGACTACAATCACACCATTGAGAACTTGGACTTAAAGAAATAAGATGCAAGTGTAAGAGAAAACTTTCTAGAGTTAGGATTCCCCACATAGAACTTCTCTTTTGACAATATCCAAGTCAACGCACGAAATTGTTCTCTTCGTAGTTGCTGAAATAATATTCCCATCCTCCTAAACATGGAAAGAAAAGTTTCCAGATTTTCTGGCTACAAATCTGAGAAGAAACTCTAGATCCTGTAATGTGAGAGGAGATTAATTGGACATTGATTTAAGTCCAAAAGAAGAATACATTGCACGAGAGGAGAGAGGAGCCAGAGGTTTGAGCGCTAGAGGGAGAAAACAAAAGGAAAAGGTGAGGAGGCGGCGGGAAACAGAGAAGCAGGATTTGATTTTCTCAATCAATTCTTTAGCTTATAGAATTAATTGAGAGAATTAATGAGGGAATCCGTCAAATCAGAGATAAAAGAATTAAGACATATTTCCTTTGGAGGATGGTAGGATTAGGAAACTAATCCTAATGAACTTCAATAATGGGGCACGGCGGCAATAGAAGCTTAGGAGAGAAATCAAGGGAGGGAAATTAGGGTAGATCTAATAGGCTTGGAAAAATTAGGTAAGTTTTCAATTACATTCAATTTAAATTTGAAATTCAAATCGTCGTAATTAAGAAACTTTCCTAAAATAAAAGAGCCAATTTAGGAAATAATTGGAATTCTAAATTCAAATGAATTGAATTCAACATAATCACAATAAGCCCAACCCAATTAGGAACCAAATAGAGGAAGCTAGGGAGTAATGGTCTCGGCGACCATGGTCATGGCCGGCGGCAATGGGTGTTGGTATTGCTTGGCCATGGGGTGTTGGGAGGAGGTGGGAGGGGGATAATTTGGGTGCTAGAGAATCCGGTGGCTAGGTGATAGAGAGGAGATGCGGGGGTATAACAGGAAAAGAAAGAACGAGATAAACAACGAAACCACGAACCCGATTTCTAGGTTGATGGTATGCGCCAAACTTCTCTCTCCAAGGAAGCTCTCCACTAGAACTTCAAGTGCTCACAATGCTCCAAGCAAGAAAACAAAATTTCTCAAATATCTTTTCATTAACCTTGAAAATAAAACAAAGGCGGTTAAATAGCTCATACAAAGACTCCAAATAACATGACACATTGCCTATAGGCTATAACCATTGGATAACTCCCCATAAACAGGGGTACGACGGGAAATACTAAAATACACTATAAGCAATAATAAATGCATGAAAATAAAATACATACTCAAAAATATAAAGACTCAATCGTGGCCGTAGATCGACGGCCGCGTCTCTGGTAAACTCTCCAAGAAGATCTGATGTCCCCATCACAAGCATGCATATTATTTTATCTTTATTGAATGTTTAAACATTATAACAGAATTATTTATCTCACTAATATTTAGCTCATTAGATAATATAATGATTGTTATTTAAGGTAAGGGAGTAGATGAGACCATAGACAAGTGATCCCGCTGTTCCGTAAGGAAGCATTTTGGGATGGATGTATAGATTTGGATATGTTATAAAAGAAAGATAAACATTCTGTAAATTAAAGACCACTTGTACAGATTAATTATATATGAAGTTTCTTATAAGAACTGTAGTTAGTTTGATAATTAAAATTGCATGCTTGCATGTTAATATTTATAATGCATCTCCCATGCCTCTAAATTGATTTAGTTACGAGAATTTGATGATTATGCAATGCAATGAATGTTGTGACAATCTAAGTAGACAAATTTTCAGATCATTCGATTTTAATTAGAAAAAAAAATCCAGAAGTCTGTTTATAGGAAAAGTATCCAACTAGATTGTCCGCCTTGAATACACCTCATTGTTAACTAGAAGGGGGTCAAAATGAGGTGTGGTAGCACTAGCTTATGAAGGGAAAGAAGATTAGGCAAAAATAATAATAAGAGCCTAAAATATATTACTAGTGCAGTTAAAATCATGCGTTAGAAATTTATAAGAGGTCGATTGTACCTCACCAATAAAAAGAGAACAATAATCACATCATTAATTGGCAATAAAAAAAGAAACCAAGAATACTACCAACAGGTACATACCTTAGCCCTTCTAACAGGTTTTAAGAAAAAAGGTGAACCCAAACGCCATGGCCAGCCAAGCTGAAAGCACTGAAGAGACCTATGAATTGAAAAACAAATTGAAGGACAAATAGATGAGATTTAGAAGACACGAAATAGAAGTGAATATTATCATGAAAAATAATACATTATTAATGAAAATTCAATAACAAAAGAAACAACACTGATAAAAAGCAGGTCAATAAACCAAACAGTAAAATTCCAAGGATTTTCATTCCTAAACATACCAGAAGTACTCATTGAAATCATCATAGTTTCTCCAAGCAGAGTGAGCAGCCTGCCCATTGTCATTATTTGCAGCCTCCTGAAATAGGAATGGTTCATTTGAAGTATTCAGGTTTAACAAGTTTCTTTCATAAAGCCAACCCAAACAGTTGAGATAAGCTATTGTTGATGATGAGGGGTGAGGTTTTGTGCTTTTTAAAGCAATAAGAATATATTTATAAAAGAGAAACCTATCATCATTTATGCAACTATTCATAATGAGGAAGCTATGGCCGTTTAATCAAAGTTGGGTAATTACACATCTTTATCATTTAGATACATTATAGTTAACGTGTTTTTTTTCCCTCGTCCGTCTTGTTCATTTAAAAGTTGACCCATACAAAATCACCACCCCCGTCACCACTCCCACTAAGTCCAAAACGAGCACTGTTATGCCACGAAGCAGAAGCTAATAGCCAACTCATATGCACAATACTCCACAATATGAAACTATGTATCAAAAATAATAAAAGCTTTTTTCTGTGCATTTAACTTACATTAAAAACAAGCTTTAATAGCATTAACTAAACTTCTATGGCAATTATGTTTCTTTCTTTTACTTTCACGTTAACTTCAGAGCCTTATAGCTAAACTAAAAGTAGCTTGTCAACATATGCTAAGATTAAAGCCATTAATGGCTACATATGTGCGAGAAGAAGTTATAGAGAAAACTAACCGCCGCAATGACATCATACAGAGGAGAAATAACTTGATCAAGGAACGATACCCCACTCTCTGATTTACAACTATTTGCAGGCTCCGCAATCTGACCACGCAGTATTTCTTCTAATTCTCTAGCCATCTGTGCAGTTAGAAAAGCGTGCATAACTTGAACTAGGAATATTTAAAAAAAAAAACTAAAAAGAAACGTAGGACATCACCAAGATATTTAATATACAGGGAAAAAAAGACAAGTTAAGAGCAAGTAAAACGAAAGGCATATTTTATGCTAGGTAACATTTAATAGTCCTAACAAGATTAAAACATTATTTCAGATATTGGTACTCAGAAACCAAACGACAAAATCACTGAAAAGACTCTAAGCAAGGCTCTAATAACAGTAAATCAAGAAGAAAAATAGAAGATAAGTGAGACGCAACATTTCTTCATAAACAAAGTCAATAACTATTTAAGTTTCTTAAGCTTAAAAGCACACGAACCATATTAAGTTTGATCAGAAAAACAGACTCCTAGGTGTATACATGGACCTCCCAAAAAAGACTGATCTGTTGAGCTTTCAAGTGAATATTGAGAGAAGAAAATGTTGGATATCATTCCAGAAGAAGCAAAACACACATGACGCAAACAACAAAATGGTCTTTATCTCTATGTTACAGAATGGACTAGCTTTATATACAAGTTAGATCGAATGCAACAAAGTCTATAGGAAATTAGAAGACGAATAAACGACAGTAATAAAGGTTGTAAAAAATAAATAGTAAATACCGAAACTAGAGTCATTACAAGAATGTTAAAGAGCGTTTCATAGGGGAAAACCGAAATATAAAACTAACTTTATTTAAACATGGATTAGACTAAGAACATGGTTTAAGTGGAGAAGCACACCCTTTTCTTAGTGTCAGGAGTTTTAATGTGTTTTAATGACTTCAAAGGAAAAAAAAAATTAAAAAAAGACAAACATAAAATTTAATTAGCTTGTGGAAAATAAATAAATTGAGCATACATGAAGAGCCAGCAACCCACCCATTATAATGTATAGAACATTTTATCCCAATGCAACCAGCTTAACAGCTGAAAACGATCCAAAATATGCTGTAAAAAGTCAATGCTGAAGCTAGAGATAAGAATCACCTTCATGACTATCTCACCCCTGACCTAATTCAAATATCTCTCTTCTCTAGTGGGCTCCCATAGCTCTCTCAGTGTCTATGTTCTCTTAACATGAACATGTTCACCACCACGACTTGCCACAATTGCTGCTCTCCTCTTATCGCCACACGCATTATGGTGCAATTTATAAAATATTATGAATCTTCTTTATTTTCAGTCTTGACTTCAATTTTATTGAATTACCGGGGCTTCCCTTCCTTTCTGCATGTAAGATAACATTTGGTGTACCACAAACGACTGGATATAAATGCTTCGTCAGTTCTATCTACCACTATCAGTTGCAGTTCTTCAGAATTAAGCCTCTTATTTAGTTTTTTCATTATTTTTTTCTTTCAAAAAATAAAAATATTAATTTATTTCCATGCAGTGAGTTGCCTTTATCATAATTTTAATTTATGATTAGTTTTCATGCTGTTCCCTATGGACCTGTTTAACTTAATTTTTGTGCATTACCCGGCTTATTTATTTTTGTCCCTTAAACATAAACATGGAAATAAACAGCTAATCACATGCAATGTTGAAATAATTATTAGAGCAATAGGTAACAAGGCTGACTGGTTATTTCTTGCGGTTCTCATCTTAACACCATAGATGATTTCAAAAATTAAAGACTTTCCATGTCCTTTACACGTTATTTCACAGAAACTTGGAGGCACATATAAATAGTTCAGTTTGTTCACTTCTCAATAGACCACTGATTCTGATTGTACAAACCGCATCAAGGAACAAGCCTGTATTGAATTGAAAAAATCAAATGGTACACTGTATAACCACATCACTATCAAGAGTGATGATAATTTGATGACAAACAAAGAGAAGCTATGCTCTACAGCTTATTTAGGCACCAGTATCTTGACTCCCTCGAAGCACATCTATGCCGAGCATCTAGCAGCTGCAATAAATCCAAAAATTGCAAGCAAAGCAATATATATTTCAAATTGTTCTCGGGCAAGGCAAGCTGCATTTTGATAGGAAATACTTGAGTTCGCAAGTAACCCTAAGGTAATACTTGAGTTCGCAAGCAATCCTAACCCAAATCGATATGCAAACAGCAGTGAAACGGCTGTTTGTCGCAGGAAAAACAGTAAAAACCTGCTGTCTACAGCAGGAAATCAGCACAAACCAGGGAAAACCGTGAGAAGAATCGATGCAAGACTTGTATTCCACTAGAAGATGCAACAAAATAGAAAAGATACAATTGATCCTCAATTCGAGAGGAGGATCGATCTCACCCAAATCTCTAGACGCCGCTAGAGCTCAAAGAAAACCTAAATCTAAGAGATCTTAAATTTCCGCCAAATTCAAGATACTCAAACATTAGGAAAACCAACTATTTAATGCATACAAAACAAAAGGAATTCCCTAAACAGTCTCTACATTCAAATTTCTCTCTTCAACCCCCAAAAATCCTTCCTAAAACGCTATGTTTCAGCGGTCGGCCCGCCCGATCTCCGCAGGAGGCGGAGATCCTGCCTGTTCTCGAATTGCCGGTCCCGGGCGGACCGGCTGGACCGGTCCAGTGGGCCGGTCTAACAATACTTCCCTCCCAAAAATCCACCGTGTCCTCAAGGTGGAGATATGCTCGTGATGTGAAACGTACATGCAAAAATGATATACTTGATGAATTTGCACGCTTAATTTTAGAGAGAACAAATAATTATATCTTTATAATGATTTGAACGACGAGATAAAACATTAAGAGCGGTAAAACGAGCTTAGGCTAAATCACATACAAAGGAGTTAAGATCGTAAAACATTCAATTTAATCTAACGATGCGTACATGATTGGTTTTCCACGATGAATCCCTAAACTAACAGTGAGATTAGTCACTACAAGAAGATCCTTCACACAACTCATCTAATTACTAGGCTTTAGCGGAGAATGATTAATCATGATTCTCATGACTCCAAACATAACCACAAGCGACAAATGAACTAGGAAGAATAAGACATAAGAGAGGAGTTCCCAACAAGAGTTTTACCCAATGAAAAGACAATGCAGACCTCCTATGCGAAGGTCTGGATGCTTGAAAGATGGTTGGCAGCAGCATTCAACTCTTACTTGACTGTGGACAGCCGTTTAGCAACTTATGAGGGGAGAACAGCCCCCAACCGTGGTCTGGAATCCTTAGACAGCGAGGGGGAATCCTTCCAAGCAGCTGGACAGCTTTTGATCTTCAATGGACTGCAACTAGGAGGTCTTTAGGTTGGCGAAACAACACGTGAAGCCTGCTGGAGTCTATGGACGGTAGATGGGAAACTTCAGGACAGCAAAACAGGGAATTTGGGAGGGCAGAACAGCAGCTTTCCAGATTCTAAAATTCAAGACAGCAAAAGAACCAGTCCAGAAATCTGGACAGCCAATTGTGGAGCAGAATTTCAGGGATTTTCCCCTACTGGGTACTCACGAGCTTGAAGGGCTTGGTGACGAATTGTGGGGGCACCAATGGAGGGGAGCTGGAATTAATTCCCTAAGATTTAGGCCTAGCGTTGAGAAGAAAATTAATTGAGGAGGGGAGGCATAGGGCCGGCCAAGAGAGAGGGGGTGGGAATTTGTGTCCACATTCAATGAATGTGGACCATGTATTAATTGCCATTAGGAATTAAATCTATGAATTAATCTCAGATTTAACTTAATGAGAGGGCTGGGTATTGTGGAGGTGGGCCCAAGAAATTAAGATGATTGAGGAGATAAATCTGAATCTAATTTCAGATTTAACTTAATTGATAACCTCACCTAAATTATGGGAGGAGCAATTAAGAGAGAATTCAAATTCAATTATTTGAATTTGAATTTTAAATTTCTTCCTAAATTAAAGGGCTAAATTAGGAAGGGTGTTATGATGAAATTGAAATCAGATTTTGGGGACATGGGGGGTTTGAATGGGTGGAGGAATTTGGGGAGCTACCTTCCAAATATAGCTTGGACAAATTTGGAAGTTATTTGAATTTCAAATTTTAGAAGTATCTCCCAAAATCAATGGGACCAATTTTGGGTTAGTGGTAATGAGGGAAGTGGCCACCATTACTGGTGGGGACAAGGTGGCCGGCGGCAAGGTGATGGGCGGCGGGGTTGGGGAGGGCCGGCCGTGGGGGTTGGGTGATGCCGGCGGCTTGGGTAGCCAAAAGGTGGCCGGCGGGTGGGCTAAGGGTAGGGCTGCAAATGAACCGAGCCGAGCCGAGTATGTCAGTGTTCATGTTTGTGTTCGTTTAATATCAGCTTGTTCAAGTTTGATTCATGTTTGTTCCAGCTTTATTGTTTGTGTTCATGTTTGATTCATTTAAATAAATGAGTGTTCATGTTCGGTTCATGTTCGTTCGTTTAGTGCTTATCGAGCTTGTTCGCGAACATATTTAACGAATTTTTTTTAACTATCAAACAAATACGTTCATGAACATATCTATGAACAATCACATTTATAATAAAAGCAATTGTCTATGTAATAAAGATAATGATTATTTATATTTATTAATTTTATAGTCAAATATTAATTATTTTTATCTAACTTATTCATGAGTTCAAAATCGAAGACGAATCAAGCTTAATATCGAGCTTGTTCACGAACTTCAAATGATGTTGTTCGCGAACATAAATGAGCCGTTGTTTATTTAAGAATCAAGTATTTAAAATATTGTTCAAGTTTGTTTGTTTAGCTAATTAAACGATCACAAACGAGCTTTAATCAGAAAAAGCCCTCAAGTGAGGGTAGAAAAGGAAAAGTACAAATAACAAATCAAATACATCAAAATAAATAGACACGATCGTAGCCGTTGATCTTCGATGTCTTCATCAGCTCGTGTTCCGATGGAGGTGGCCATCCTTGATGTGACTGAAAATCCTTACTGTATTGTTGAATCAAGGGCTGCACGGACAGAGAAACATCCCCTCCCTCTTCCAATCTAATTGCATCCAATCTGTGTAGTCCCACCAGATAATCTTCCCCCACCTCT